TGGTGTAGGACCGCCTTCATGGGGTGTAGGACCCGCCTTCATGGGGTGTAGGACCGCCTTCATGGGGTGTAGAACAGCCTTGCATGGTGATGGACACCTGGCTTGGGCTGTTAAAGCATCCTCATGGGGTGATGGACACCCATCTTAGGGTGATGGTCAACCTTTTTGAGGTGGAGAACCCCATTTTTAAGGTGTAGATTCCCCTTCTTGGGGTGTAGAGCCCCCTTTTTGAAGTGTTGAACCACATTTTTTGGGTGTAGAACCCCATTTTTAAAGTGCAGAACCCCATTTTCGGGGTGTAGAACCCCTTTTTTGGGTTGTCTAACCCTGTTTTGGGGCTGTAGAACCCCTTTTTGGGCTTTAGGACCTCATTTTTGGCTGTAGAACCCCCTTTTTGGCTGTAGGACCCCCATTTTTGGGTGTAGAACCCTGTTTTTGGGTGTAGAACCTCTGTTTTTCACTGTGGAACCCCCTTTTAGCAGTGTAGAACCCTGGTTTTGGGGCTGTAGAACCTCGGTTTTTGGCTGTAGACCCCCATTTTTGGATGTAGAACCCTGGTTTTGGATGTAGAACCCCGTTTTTAGGTGTAGAACCCCCTTTTTGGCTGTCAACCCCCCGTTTTCGGGGTGCTGACCCCGCTGTGGCGCAGGTACACGGACATGGAGAGCGAGGATTACCACTTCTACCAGGGCCTGGTCTATCTGCTGGAGAACGACGTCTCCACCCTGGGCTACGACCTCACCTTCAGCACCGAGGTATCCCCCCCCCAACCAGGGCCACCCCAAAACCCGGCCTCGGGGTGCCCCCAGCACCACCAACCCCTCTCCCCCCCAGGTCCCAGGGGTTTCCCCCTTTTTGGGGGGGTCCCCCCTGTCCTAATGGTGTCCCTAGGGGTGTCCCCTGCTTTGGGGGGGGTCCCCCCCATCCCACTGGTGTCCCCTTTGGTCTTGGGGTGTCCCCCCCTATTCAAGGGGTGCCCCTAAATCCCAAAGGGGTCTCCCCTGTTCTTGGGGTGTCCCCTGCTTTGGGGGGTCCCCCCTGTCCCAATGGTTTCCCCTTTGTTCCCGGGGTGCCCCCCCTCCTTTGGGGGTGTCGCTTGACCCCCTCCATCCCCCCCCATTCAGGTGCAGGAGTTTGGGGTGTGCGAGGTCCGGGACCTGAAGCCCAACGGAGCCAACGTCCTGGTGACGGAGGAGAACAAGAAGGAGTACGTGCACCTCGTGTGCCAGATGCGCATGACCGGTGAGCTCCGGGCGGGTATTGCCGGCGTTCCCAGTGACATTCCAAACGTTCCCAATGACATTCCCAACATCCCCAACAACGTTCCAAACGTTCCCAACAGCATTCCCAAAGACATTCCCAACACTCCCAACATTTCCAACATTCCCAACATTCCTAATGTTGTTCCCAACAGTGTTCCCAACATTCCCAACACCATTCCCAGCAACATTCCCAGCTTCCCAACATTCCCAACAACATTCCCAACACCATTCCCAACCTTCCCAACACCATTCCCAACCTTCCCAACAACATTCCCAGTATTCCCAACAACTTTCCCAACACCATTCCCAACATTCCGAACACCATTCCCAACCTTCCCAACACCATTCCCAACCTTCCCAACAACTTTCCCAGTATTCCCAACAACTTTCCCAACACCATTCCCAACATTCCCAACACCATTCCCAACACCATTCCCAACCTTCCCAACCCCATTCCCAGCATTCCCAACAACTTTCCCAACACCATTCCCAACACCATTCCCAACACCATTCCCAACACCTTTCCCAACACCTTTCCCAACAACTTTCCCAACATTCCTAGCAACATTCCCAGCATTCCCAACCCCATTCCCAACAATCCCCACCCCATTCCCGCCCCGTTCCCACTGACCCCGCCGTTATCCCGCAGGAGCCATCCGGAAGCAGCTGGCCGCCTTCCTGGAGGGTTTCTATGAGATCATCCCCAAGCGCCTCATCTCCATCTTCACGGAGCAGGAGCTGGAGCTGCTCATCTCGGGGCTGCCCACCATCGACATCGACGACCTCAAGGCCAACACCGAGTACCACAAGTACCAGGGCAACTCCATCCAGGTGGGCACTGCCCCCAGACAGACCCAAATCAGCCCAAAACCAGCCTCAAATCAGCCCAAAAACTGCCCAAAATCAGCCCCCAAACAGCCCAAAATCAGCCCAAAACCAGGCCAGAAAACATCCCAAAACAGCCCAAAATCAGGCCAAAACCAGTCCCAAAACATCCCCCAAATCAGCCCCAAAACAGCCCAAAACCAGTCCCAAAACAGCCCAAAAAACTACCCCAAACCACCCAGAAATACCCCAGAACACCCAGAAAATATCCTAAAACCACCTCCAAACCACCCAGAAAATACCCCAAAACCACCCTAAACCACTCCAAAACCCACCCCAAAACACCCAGAAAATACCCCCAAAACCACTCCAAAACCCACCCCAAAACACCCAGAAATACCCCAAACCCACTCCAAAACACCCAGAAATACCCCAAACCCACCCCAAAACACCCAGAAATACCCCAAAACACCAAGAAATACCCCAAAACACCCAGAAATGCCCCAACCCAACCCCAAACCCACCCCAAAACACCCAGAAATACCCGAAACCCACCCCAAAACACCCAGAAATACCCCAAAACCACCCCAAAACACCCAGAAATACCCCAACCCAACCCCAAACCCACCCCAAAACACCCAGAAATTCCCCAAAACACCCAGAAATACCCCAAACCCACCCCAAAACACCCAGAAATACCCCAAACCCACCCCAAAACACCCAGAAATACCTCAAACCCACCCTAAAACCACTCCAAAACCCACCCCAAAACACCCAGAAATACCCCAAACCCAGCCCAAAACACCCAGAAATACCCCAAAACACCCAGAAATGCCCCAACCCAACCCCAAACCCACCCCAAAACACCCAGAAATACCCGAAACCCACCCCAAAACACCCAGAAATACCCCAAAACCACCCCAAAACACCCAGAAATACCCCAACCCACCCTCCCAAAACACCCAGAAATACCCCAAACCCAACCCCAAAACCCACCCCAAAACACCAGAAATTCCCCAAAACACTCAGAAATACCCCAAACCCACCCCAAAACACCCAGAAATACCCCAAAAACACCCAGAAATGCCCCAACCCAACCCCAAACCTACCCCAAAACACCCAGAAATACCCCAAAACACCCATAAATACCCCAACCCAGCCCCAAACCCCCCCCAAAACCTCCCTCCCCAGATCCAGTGGTTCTGGCGGGCGCTGCGCTCCTTCGACCAGGCCGACCGCGCCAAGTTCCTGCAGTTCGTGACGGGCACGTCCAAGGTGCCCCTGCAGGGCTTCGCCGCCCTCGAGGGCATGAACGGCATCCAGAAGTTCCAGATCCACCGCGACGACCGCTCCACCGACCGCCTGCCCTCGGCGCACACCTGGTACCGGCGGCGTGCGCAGGGACGCGGGGCGGACGCGGGGTGGACGTGGATACGGGGGGAACATGGGATGGACGTGGACACGGGATGGACGTGGATATGGGATGGACGTGGATATGGGATGGACGTGGGATGGATACAGGATGGACGTGGATATGGGATGGACGTGGATATGGGATGGACGTGGATATGGGATGGACGTGGACACGGGATGGACGTGGATATGGGATGGACGTGGACACGGGATGGACGTGGATATGGGATGGACGTGGACACGGGATGGATGTGGGTATGGGATGGACGTGGACACGGGATGGACATGGATATGGGATGGACGTGGACACGGGATGGACGTGGACACGGGGTGGACGTGGATATGGGATGGACGTGGACACGGGATGGACGTGGATACGGGGTGACGTGGATATGGGATGGACGTGGACACGGGATGGACGTGGATATGGGATGGACGTGGATATGGGATGGACGTGGACACGGGATGGACGTGGACACTGGACGTGCACGGGGTGGACGTGGATATGGGATGGACGTGGACACGGGATGGATGTGGGTATGGGATGGATGTGGACACGGGATGGACATGGATACGGATGGACATGGATATGGGATGTGGGATGGACATGGATATGGGATGGACATGGACATGGATGGACATGGACATGGATACGGGATGGACGTGGATGTGGGACATGGGATAGACAGGGATGGATATGGGATGGGATGGACGGGACGGATGTGGGACAGGGGGATGGGATACACATGGGTATGGGATGCACATGGATATGGGACGTGGGATGCACATGGATATGGGACAGGGGATGGACAGGGATGTGGGACGTGGGATGTACAGGGGATACACATGGATATGGGATGCACATGGATATGGGACACGGGATGTACATGGATATGGGACGGGATGCACATGGATGTGGGACGGGGGAATGGACAGGGATGGATATGGGACGTGGGATGCACATGGATATGTGATGTACATGGGTGTGGGACATGGGATGCACATGGATATGGGGCATGGTATGCACATGGATATGGGATGCACATGGATATGGGATGCACATGGGTATGGGACATGGGATACAGATGGATGTGGGATACACAGGAGATGGGATGGACATGGATATAGGACATGGGATGCACATGGATATGGGACATGGGATGCACAGGATAAGGGGATATGGGAGATGAGGAAATGGGATGTGAACATGGAATGTGGGATGTGAGACACATGGGACAGGGACACAGGATATAGGATATGGGGAGATGGGACATGGGGTATGGAGGACATGGGAGACAGGACGTGGGATACATGGGACATGGGGACATGACACAGCCATGGGACATGGATATTGGGTATGGGACATAGGACATGGGGATACACAGGGTATGGGATGCAGAGGGGCTATGGGAGATGGGGAAATGGGATATGGATATGGGGTATAGGATAGGGAGAGATGGGATATGAGACATGGGATATTGGATATGGGTCGTAGGGACATGGGATGCACAGGGGGCTATGGGAAACGGGGGAAATGGGATGTGGATATGGGATATAGGATAGGGAGAGATGGGATATGAGACATGGGATATTGGATATGGGTCGTAGGGACATGGGATGCAGAGGGGCTATGGGAAATGGGGAAATGGGATATGGATATGGTATATAGGATAGGGGGATATGGGATACATGGAATAGTGGGTATGGGACATAGGGACATGGGATGCGCAGGGGCTGTGGGAGACGGGGAAATGGGATATGGATATGGGATATAGGATAGGGAGAGATGGCATATAGGATAGGGGGATATGGGATGTGGGACATGGGATATAGGGTATGGGACATGGGACAGGACACGGGGCACGGCCATTTTAAACACACGGGGCCACGGCGTACGAATCCCACAACCTGAGCCACGGCACCCCCAGGGAACCACTGGGTGGGACACCATGGGTGCCAGTGTGTGGGGGGGGAGGGGAAACCCCCCCCTCCCCTCACTTTACGTGTGTCCCCCCCCCCCCCAGTTTCAACCAGTTGGACCTGCCCGCCTACGAGAGCTACGAGAAGCTGCGGCACATGCTGCTGCTGGCCATCCAGGAGTGCTTCCGAGGGCTTCGGCCTGGCCTAGGGGGGAGGGGCCCGGGCCCTGCCCCCCCGCCCCTCCCCCCAGCGGCTCTATAAATATATATATATATTTTTTTGGTTTCGTTGGCTTTTTTTTTTTTTTTGGTTTTTTTTTTTTTTTTTGGTTTTCTTTGGGTGGGGGAGGGGGTGGGGGTTTTGGTTGGTTGTTTTTTTTTTTTTTTTTTTTGGCTCTCTCGGAAAGGGCGGGGGGAGGGGATTCCCCCCCCCTTCCCCCCACCCCCCCCCTCCCCGCTCCGGCCGTGTTGTTTTTTGGGGGACGGAATGGTGAAGTCAAATGGGGGAAAAGGCCCCTAAAATTATAGAGAAAAGGTTCGGCCCCTCCCCCCCCCCCCCCTTTTCTCCCCTCCTCCCCCCCTAAAAAAAAAAAAAAAAAAAATTGAGAGAAAAAGTGAAAAAAAAAAGGAATAAAAAAGTGCACTCTTGGTAAGGGCAGTTCCGGTCGTTCTTGGGGGGAGGGAGAGGGGCGGCCGCCATATTGGGGGGGGGGGGTGTGTGGCCGCCGTCTTGGGTGTGGCAATGCTCACCGCTGTGTCCGCCATCTTGGGTGTGGCGATGCGTCATGGTGCGTGGTCGCCATCTTGGGTGTGTCAGCCAATGGCGTGTGGCGGCCGCACCGCGGGTCCCCGTGGCGCAGCCGCCATCTTGGGTGTGGCGCTGTCACACTGCGGCCGCCATCTTGGGTGTGGCAAAGCCGGACTGGAACGCACTCTCATTGGGGCGGGCGTTTGCCTGTCGCGCCGGAAGTGACATCAGAGCGACGCGGAAGGGAGCCGCAACGTGCGGGTGTCCAGGCCAATGACCCGTTCCAGTGAGCGCTGGGGGGGACGGGGGGGAATTGGGGGGGTTCAAGGGGGTTCAGGGTGGGTTGGGGTCCCCCCCTCACTCTGCCCCCCCCTTCCACAGGGCGACAAATAGAGGCCGGCCGGGAAGAAGCGGGTCCAGGTGAGCCCTGAGGGGGGGGGGGGGTGTTGGGGTGACACCATCTCGGTTCGGGGGTGTCAGCCCCCCCCCCTTCATTCCCATAGGGAAAAGGAGCCAAGGGAGGAGGGAGGAAGGACCCGGGGGTGCCGCAGCTGCGCCGCTTCGCTGCTCACGTCCAGCGGCAGAACGAGAGCAAGCGGGCACGGGTTAAAAAACAATGGGGGGACGGGGAGAGGGTTTGGGGGGTGCTCCCCCCCCCCCCCAATGGTTCTGACCTCCCCCCCGCAGGCAGCGGAGGCGCGGGAGCGGCGGGAGGCGGCGCGGGAGGCGGAGCGGAGCCGGCGGCGGAGCCTGGAGGGGCTGCGCTTGGAGGCGCTGCGGCGGCAGCGGGAGTTCGAGAGCAGGGTGCGGGGGGGGGCAGCGGCATGGGTATGGGGGGGGGAACACTCGGGGGGTGACCCCCCCCCCCCATCCTCCCCCGTGTCCGGTAACGTGGGGGGGGGGGGTGTGCAGGAGGTGCGGAGCGAGCAGAAGGATGTGGAGGAGGAGGCGTCGCTGCGGCAGCACGGGAGGGAGCTGCGGGAGGTGAGGAAGGGGAGATGGGGTGGGGATAACGGGGATGGGATGGGGATGATGGGAACGGGGTGGGGGCAGTGGGAGTGGGGCGGGGATAACGGGGATGGGATGGGGATGATGGGAACGGGGTCGGGATAACGGGGTGGGGGCAGTGGGAGTGGGGCGGGGATAACGGGGATGGGATGGGGATGATGGGATCGGGGTCGGGATAACGGGGTGGGGACAGTGGGAGTGGGGCGGGGATAACGGGAATGGGATGGGGATGATGGGATCGGGGTCGGGATAACGGGGTGGGGACAGTGGGAGTGGGGCGGGGATAACGGGGATGGGATGGGGATTGATGGGATCGGGGTCGGGATAACGGGGTGGGGGCAGTGGGAGTGGGGCAGGGATAACAGGGATGGGATGGGGATGACGGGAACGGGGTCAGGATAACGGGGTGGGGGCAGTGGGAGTGGGGCGGGGATAACGGGAATGGGATGGGGACATGGGAGTGCGATGGGGATAATGGGAATGGGATGAGGGTAATGGGATCGGGACAAGGGGATGCTGTCAGTGGGAGGGGGGTGGGGGTAACGGGGATGGGATGAGGATGATGGGAACGGAGTCGGGATAACAGGGTGGGGACAGTGGGAATGGGGCGGGAATAACAGGGTTGGGATGGGGATGATGGGATCGGGATAACGGGGTGGGGGCAGTGGGAGTGGGGTGGGGATAACGGGGATGGGATGGGGATGATGGGAATGGGGTCGGGATAACGGGGTGGGGGCAGTGGGAGTGGGGCGGGGATAACGGGGATGGGATGGGGATGATGGGATCGGGATAACGGGGTGGGGGGCAGTGGGAGTGGGGTGGGGATAACGGGGATGGGATGGGGATGATGGGAATGGGGTCGGGATAACGGGGTGGGGGCAGTGGGACTGGGGCAGGGATAATGGGAATGGGGATAGGGACATGGGAGTGCGATGGGGATAATGGGGATGGGGGTAATGGGGATGGGGATAATGGGAATGGGATGGGGGATGATGGGGATAATGGGGATGGGATGAGCACATGGAATGGGATGGGGATATGGGAGTAGGATGAGGATAAGGGGAGCAGATTGGCGACATGCAAGTGGGATGGAGACAAAGGGAATGGGATGGGGATAATGCGAATGGGGTGGGGATAACAGGAGTGGGATGGTGTCAGTGGGAGTGGGGTGGGGACACGGGAGTGGGATGGGGATAATGGAAACGGGACTGGGATGACAGGGATAACGGGAATGCGATGGAGTCACTGGGAATGGGCTGGGGATGATAGGATTGGGATAACGGGATGGGGTTAGTGGGAGTGGGGTGGGGATGATGGGAATGGGATGGAGATAAGGGGAATGGGATGGGGTTGATGGGAGTGGGATGTGGATGTAGAGCGGTGCCACTGGGGGATGCAGGGACAGAGCATGCCACACAGGGACACACAGAGGTGGCACTGGGGGGGACATGACCCTAACCCCCCCCCTCTCTTAGGTGCTGGCAGCATCCGATGTGGTGCTGGAGGTGCTGGATGCCCGGGACCCCCAGGGCTGCCGCAGCCCCCGGCTCGAAGCCGCCGTCCGGAGCTCGGGGCCCCGGCAGCGCCTGGTGCTGGTGCTCAACAAGATCGGTGCGGGGCAGGGCTTGGGGGCACAGGGTGATGTTGGGGGGGAGGGGGGTGATGGGGACCCCCCCACTCACTTTGTGTGTGTCCTTCCCAGACCTGGTGCCGCGGGACGTGGTGGCCGCGTGGCTGAAGCACCTCCGCGCCGAGCTCCCCACCGTGGCCTTCAAGGCGTGCACGCAGCAGCAGAGCCGTAACCTGGTGTGGGGCTGGAAGGGAAAAGGGGGGGTTAAAGGGGTTAGGGGGGCGTAGGGACAATGAAGACAATGGGGACCCCCCATTTATGACCCCCTCCTCCCCCTTTATGCAGAAGCAGAGCCGGGTACCGGTGGCGATGGCCCCCGAGGAGGTGCTGGCCGGGGGAGCGTGTGTGGGGGCCGAGTGTTTGCTCCGGGTCCTGGCCAACTACAGCCGGTGTGGGAGGTGAAAACAAGCATCACCGTGGGGGTCGTGGGTGAGTGGGGGGTGGGAGAGGGGATGGGGGCAATGGGAGTGGGATGGGGATAATGGGAGTGAGAGGGGGTCAGTGGGATGGGGACAATGGGAATGGGATGGGGTCAGTTGGGAGTGGGATGGGGACAATGGAAGTGGGATGGGGACAATGGGAATGGGATGGGGTCAGTTGGGAGTGGGATGGGGATAATGGGAATGTGATGGGGGTCAATTGGATGTGGATTGTGGGAGTCGGATGGGGAAATTGGAGTGGGAGGGGGTGAGTGGGATGGGGTCAATGGGAGTGGGATGGGATAATCGGATGGGGATAATGGGAGTGGATGGGGATATGGGATTGGGATATAAAAGTGGGGTGGGCATAATGGGAGTGGTCTGCAGGGGGGTGTTGTACTTGGGGGGCACCCCCACTGATGGTCCCCCCGCTGCAGGGTACCCCAATGTGGGTAAGAGCAGTCTCATCAACAGCCTGAAGCGGAGCCGGGCTTGTGGGGTGGGAGCAACCCCGGGGGTCACGAGGTAAGCCCTGCCCCGTGGGAGGCGGAGCCTGCATTGACCACATTCCCAGCCCCCCGCCCCCCCCCCCCCGTAAAAGGAGGGGGCGTGGCTTGCGAGCGCCCCCCCCCCCGACCACGCCCCCAGGTGCTTGCAGGCCGTGCAGCTGGACCGGCACATCCAGCTCCTGGACTGCCCCGGTGTTGTCATGGAGACGGGGGCCCCCCCCGCCGCTGCCCCACTGCGGGGGGCTCTGGCCCCACAGCGCCTCCGGGGACCCCCTGACCCCCGCCGCTGCCATCCTGCGCCGCTGCCCCCCCCAGCAGGTAATGGGGGGGGGGGAGGCGGGGCTTGGGACTGTTGCCATAGTGATGATGGGTGTTGGGGATCTCCCTCTGGGGGCTAAGATCTGTCACCATGGCACTGGGGTTATCAGGGGGGCTTAGATGCGTTGCCATGGTGACTGGGGGTCTTGGGGGGTGACCGTTTAGAGGCTCACAGTGGTTGTCATGACAGCTAAGGGTGTTGGGACCTGTTGCCATGGCAACTAGGGGTGTCTGGGAGCTCCCAAGCCTGTTGCCATGACAACTAGAGGTGTGGAAGATGGGCCACCATGGCAACTAGGGCTGTTGGGGATTCAGACCTGTTGCTATAGCAACTAGAGGTGTTGGGGATGCCCCTTTTGAAGGCTCAGACCAGTCACCATGGTAACTGGGGATGCCTGGGGACCCTCTTTGGGGGTTGCCATGGCAACTAGATATGGTGGGGAACCCCCGGGATGGCTCAACCCTGTTGCTATGGTGACACATCCCCCCCCCATCCCCATGGCAACATGGAGGGTTGCCATTTCCATCCCATTTTGTCCCCAAAACCGAGTCTGGGGGTGACAAGAGCCCATGAGGGGGTGACAAGACCCCATCTGTGTGTCCCCCCCCCAACAGCTGAGCGAACTCTATGGGGTCCCCCCCTGCGATGACCCCCGGCAGTTCCTGTCCCATCTGGCCCGGAGGCAGGGCCGGCTCCGGCCAGGGGGGCTCCCGGACCCCCATGCTGCTGCTGTGGCCCTGCTGCGAGACTGGACCAGGTTGGGGGGGGCTCCCCACACCCTGACCCACATTTGGGGGATACAGGGTTGGAGGGCCTCCTATAGCCTGACCCATTTTGTCCCGCCCCCCCCCCCCCCCTTCCCATACAGTGGCAAGATCTCCTACTACACCCACCCCCCCAAACCCAAGGGGTGCATTTGGAAGCCCAAATCCTGACAGCGCTGGGGCCAGCGCTGGACCTGGAAGCGCTGGAGAAGGGTGATGCCGAGGCGCTGGCGGGTGAGAACTGGAGCATCCCCCCCCCTCCCTTTATCTTACCATGGGGTGACCCCCCCTTCCCAATGCTCATTCCCCTCCCCATAGCGGTACCAGTGTCTGTGGCAGGCATTGGCCTGGCTCCATGTGTGCCTGAGGAGGAAGAGGAGATGAAGTCCAATGGGGATGAAGCAGCAGCCATGGAGGAGGATGTGGGCGACCTGGAGGTATGGAGGGGGTCTGTGAGGTATAGGGGGGGTTATAGGTGCATTATTGACACACACTCCCCCCCCCATCACCCCAGCTGGGGCAGTGACAGTGGAGCTGAAGCCCCCCCGGCTGAAGATGGGGGGCAGTGGGGAGGGTCCTGTGCCCCGTGCCCTGGAGGAAGTGGCGGCTCTGGAGCCTTGCTGCAGGGCCAGGCATGAAAAACCCTTTTTCACCCAAAAACCTTCCATAACCCCCTAAACCCCCCCTTTCCAACCCCTAAACCCTTCCTTAACCCCCACTCCCCATTCCAACCCCCAAACCCTTTCATAACCCCCCCCAAATCCTCCTTTCCAACCCCAAAACCATTCCATAACCCCCTAAATCCTCCCTTTCCAACCCCAAAACAAGTCTTAAACCCCCAAACTCTCCTTTCCACCCAAAACCCCTTCCTTAACTGCCTAAATCCCTTTTCCAACCCAAAACCCCTTCCTTAACTGCCTAAATCCCCTTTTCCAACCCAAAAACCTTTCCTTAACCCCTAAATTCTCTTTTTCCAACCCAAAAACCTTTCCTTAACTCCCTAAATTCTCTTTTCCAACCCCAAAACCCTTCCTTAACCCCCTAAATTCTCTTTTCCAACCCAAAAACCCCTTCCTTAACCCCCTAAATTCTCTTTTCCAACCCAAAACCCTTCCTTAACCCCCTAAATACTCTTTTCCATCACCAAACCCTTCCTTAGCACCCTAAATCCCCCTTTCCAACCCAAAACCCATCCTTAACCCTCTAAATCCCCTTTCCAACCCCAAAACCCATCCTTAACCCCCCCAAATCCTCCTTTCTCACCAAAAAAAAACATTCCATAACCCCCTAAATCCCCCTTTCCAACCCAAATCCCCCTCAATTCCTCCTTTACCCCATTTATCCATAGAGAAGATCGCCACGAAGCTGTCGGAGACGCTGGAGGCCGCGATGCAGTTCTGAGGCCGAGGCTTTTCCAACGGGAACGGTGTTTTTTAAGCAAGAAATGGTTAAAACAGCCCTTTTTGGGTTTTTTTTGCAGTAAAAGCACAGGCACAAGATGGGCGGGTCTGAAAGGTGCCGTTTTGGGGGGGGGTTAAGTGGGGATTTGGGGCTGGTTTTAGGCAGCTGGCCCCATAGAGCAGAATGGGGAGGTAAAACCCTTCCATATGCCCTGTGTTGCCCCATTAACACCTTCAGAGCACCCCAAAAGCCACCTCGCAGCACACACTGGGGTCCCCGACACCCCAAAGGGAAGAGGGTCCCCCCCCTCCATATCCCATTGCCAGCCTGGGGCAGCTCCCCTCAGCCACGGCCGCCATTTTGTGGCCTCTTCTCCTACCCAAGGAAGCGCTTCAGAGGCTCCTTACGGGACGTGGGGCACCACAAGCGCTTTAAGTCGCCATTACTGAGGTGAAGGCAGGGGTTAAATGGGCAATTTGGGTGTTTTCGGGGTGTTTAATCCCGTTTTTAACGGCAGCGCCGTTTTATCTCCCTCAGGGACCGGGGGGGGGGGGGGGGGGTTAGGTCACCACAAGACCCTCGAGGCGGCCGCCCGGGCACATGCGAGGGGGCGGAGCGAGCGCTGCCGCTCGCCCAATCGCGATGCGAAGAAGGGGAGTGGGCGGGAGGAAGGCGGAGTTTGAGCCAATAGGAGGCGGGGTGTGCGGGGTTCCACCGCTGGCGCATGCGCAGAGGGTGGGGTCAGTGCGCGTGGACCGCGGGCTGAGGGGAGGCGGAGCGGCGGCCGCTCCGGTTCGGTTAACGGGGCCTTCGGCTGTCGCTGTCGCGATGGAGCGGGACGCAGCGATAGGAACGGCCCTGGAGCGGTTTTAGCCCGCCCGGTGCTTGTTTTGCCCTCAGCGCTGTGAGAGGAATGTCCCAGAGGAAGCGCAGCAGAGGGTCGGGTCCCTCCCAGGTAAGAGGCGGCTCCTTTCCCGTGTCCTCCTTTCCCCCTTTATTCTCTTTCCTTTTCTCCCCTCTTTTTCGCTCGTTTCCCCTTTTATTCCCTTTCTCTTTTCTCTTCCCCCCTTTTTCCCTCTCTTTCCCCTTTATTTCCCACTTTTTCTCCCTTTACCCCCTTTCTCCCTCCTTTCCCCCTTTATTCCCTTTCTTTTTCCCCTTTCCTCCCTTTCCCCCTCTCTTTCCCTTTTATTTCCCACCTTTTCTCCCTTTGCCCCCCTTTCTCCCCCTTTATTGCCTTTCTCTTTCCCCTTTTATCCCCTTTCTCTTTCCCCCTTTATCCCCTTTCCCCCTTTATTCCCTTTCTCGTTTCCCCCCCCTTTCTCCCTCCTTTCCCCCTTTATTTCCTTTCCCCTTATTTTCCCCTTTTTCTCCCTTTCCCCTTTTTTCTCTCCCTTTCCCCCTTTATTCCCTTTCTCTTTCCCCTTTATTTGCCCCTTTCTCCCTCCTCTCTCCCCACAGGCAGACGATGGGGACGAGGATTTCAGCCTCAGCCCCATGCTGCCGCGCAGCCAAGTGCAGCGGAACCTGGAGAGGCACTCCCAGGACCAAGTGAACCAGAAGGTGGGTGCAGGCCACCCCAAGCAATGTCTCCTGCCTCGGCCCCTCCATCATCACCCAGCTCTCAACCTTCCTCCCCCAAAACCCCATAGGTCAGTGAGCTGGTTCAGTTCCTACTTGTCAAAGACCAGAAGAAAATCCCTATTAAGAGAGCAGGTCAGTTTAGCCCCCACCCACCGCCCCCAGCTTAGGGGGAGCTCAGGCATCCAAGTGATTCCCTTCCCTTTTCCCTACAGATATCCTGAAGAAAGTCATCCGGGAATACAGAGACATCTACTCGGAGATTGTCAACCAGGCAGGCAGGACCCTGCAGCAGGTTGGGGGGGGACACACAACACACACATGGAGCGGTTGAAGGGGCAGTTTGAGGGAGGGGGGGGGGCACCCTCTGTTAATGAACCTTTCTCCTCCTGCAGGTGTTTGGGCTGCAGTTGGTGGAGATGGACACCAGGCAGCACATCTACATCCTCACCAGCACCATACCCCGCACCGAGGGGGAGAACCTGCGCCGGTGAGGGGGGCACAGAGGACCCCATTGGGGTGTGTGTTCCCCTCTTTTCTTTGCTCATCCCTGTTTCCTGTAGGGACAACCAGACAGCAAAGCTGGCGCTCCTCATGGTCATCCTCAGCTTCATCTTCATGAAGGGTAACTCGGTCAAAGATGGTGAGCATGCCCCCCCCCCAATACCCCAGTTCCCCTTTGTGCCCCCCATTGATCTTCCCCCTTCCCGTTCCCCTTTGTGACCCCCATTGACCCCCTCCTTTTCCAGGTGCAGTGTGGGAATTTCTCCGCAGGCTCCGCATACAGCCAGGGTAGGATATGGGGGGGACACACACATAATGGAGGGGGGACACACACAGGTCTCATTGACGCCCCCCCTCCCCCTCAGGGAGCGCCACGAGGTCTTTGGGGACGTCAAGAAGCTGGTGACAGAGGAGTTTGTGCGGCAGAAGTGAGTCTTGGGGTTCCCCCCCCTTTTTGGTCACACACCCCCCCCGGTGTGCTCAGAGCAGCCACAGCACCAGTCTTGGCTGGGCTGTTTATGCCACACCGCAGAGAAACCCCCCCCCTGCACCCCCCCCAGCCTGGTGACTTGAGGGTCTGTCACAGGGCCAGGGGGTGCTGGACAACCCCCACCCCACCCCCCAAACCATAGTGGGGGGGAATTCACCCCACCACCCCATTGCAGGTACCTGGAGATCACCCCCATCCCCTTGACGGACCCCCCCGAGTTCAAGTACCAGTGGGGGCCACGGGCAGCCAAGGAGACCTCCAAGATGGAGGTGCTGCGCTTTGTGGCAAAGGTGAGGCCATGGTTGGGGGGTCCCGGGTTTTGGGGGGGGGGTCCTGGGGCTCATTTTAACACCCCCCTCTTTATTTTCCCTCCCCAGATGCAAGGGAAGGATCCCACGTACTGGGTAAGCCAGTACAATGAGGCTAAGACCACCCGTTGACCTCCCAAAACATTGATGGACCCCCCCCACAATAAAGGTGCAGCTTGACAACCTCCATTCTCAGCTCTTCATTAAGACCAGGTTTAATTTGGGGGTCTCCTCCTGTTTGGGAGGGGGGGAACCCCTCAATAATGCTCAGGAACCGTGACCAACGCTTCAGCAGGGGGGCGGCTGATGTCGACGTTCTATGGGGTGAAGGTGAAGGGTTGAGGGAGGACTCCCCAAAATGCAGTCCCCCCTAATGTGTGTGTGGGGCTGTTCTTAAATCTATGCCCTATTTTTGAGGTGCTTCAATGGGTTTCTTTGGGGGGGATCCCCCCATTTTACCTGGGGCCGCTCCCGATGGGTGTTCACTGCTGCTACATTGAGGAAGATGGACTCCACTTCGCACCCTGTTGCCATGGGGAGGGAGAAGGAACCCAGATGGGGGGGGGGGGTGTCCCCAGTTGAGGGGGGGGACACAGTCCCCATTTTGGGGTGACCCCCCCTCTTTAGGGTTGCCACCACCCCACTCACCATAAGCCACTGGGGTCAACTTGAGCACCGTGTGCAGGGGGCACTTGAGATAGGGCAGCTCATCTTGGGGATGGGGTGAAGGAGGTAAGAGAGGGGTGATGGATTTGGGGGTGTCCCCAATGTGTCCCCCCCATCTCACCCGCGCTCTTATCCAGGAAGTAGGCCAGAAGGCAGCGCATCACAGCTTGGTGGCAGATGACCAACACGTTCTCTTGCCTCTCCAGCTCCATGATGACTGGCTCCAAGCGCTGCACCAGGTCCTCATACGACTGGAGGGGGGGGGACAACGACCCCAAATTGAAGTAGGGGGACCCCAGATTGACCCCAACCCCCTGTGCACCCATTCAGGTGGGACAGGAAGGGGGTTACCTCTCCTTTGGGGTAGCGATAGCGATACTTGTCCTGATCCCGTAATGCGAACTCCTGTGGGAAGCGCTCCTGGATCTCCTCGTAGGACATCTCCTCGCAGACCCCCTGCGGGAATGGGGATGCTGTGGGGTTGGAGAAGGAGGATTTTGGGGTGTTTCCCACACACACAAAAAAAGGGGGGGGAGGGCCCTCACCGCATCGATCTCATTGAGGGCTTTCCACTGCTCGTAGGGCACCCCCAGCGCCTCGGCCGTCTCGATGGTGCGTTTCATGTGGCTGGTCCACACCTTCAGCTCCCGGATGCTCTGGCTGCGGATGAACTCGGCCAGGGCCCGGGCGTACTGGGGAGAGGGGCGGGGCTAAGACTGGACACGCTCGTAGTGGGCGGAGTCAAAACTTTGGCCACGTCTCCCCTTCGTTTACATCCCGTTGATCAACAGGCACGGAGAGATCGAGTGTGGGCGTGGTCTGATGTAGCTCCTCCCCTTGTCCTTATGTGGCCTCGTTTAGCTCCACCCCATGCCTGTAGCCACGCCCCTTCTGCACCCTGTAACACCCTCCATGGCTGTGCCCCCCACCATGGGAACAGGGACCCTCCCCAGCCCTTCTCCCTTCCCCATCTCCTCCATGTGCCCAGGCCCCCCAGCCTTTTCCCCTTCCCCATCCCCTCCATGGTTGTGCCCTCCTCTTCCCTCCTCTTGTCCCCATCCCCTCCATGGTTGTGCCATCCTCTTCCCTCCCCTTGTCCCCATCCCCTCCATGGCCATGCCCTCCTCTTCCCTCCTCTTGTCCCCATCCCCTCCATGGCCGTGCCCTCTCTTCCCTCCTCTTGTCTCCATCCCTTCCATGGCCATGCCCTCCTCTTCCCTCCTCTTGTCCCCATCCCCTCCATGGCCGTGCCCTCCTCTTCCCTCCCCTTGTCCCCATCCCTTCCATGGTTGTGCCCCCCTCTTCCCTCCCCTTGTCCCTCCATGGCCGTGCCCTCCTCTTCCCTCCTCTTGTCCCCATCCCCTCCATGGTTGTGCCCTCCTCTTCCCTTCTCTTGTCCCTCCATGGCCGTGCCCTCCTCTTCCCTCCCTTGTCCCCATCCCCTCCATGGCCATGCCCTCCTCTTCCCTCCTCTTGTCCCCATCCCCTCCATGGCCGTGCCCTCCTCTTCCCTCCCCTTGTCCCCATCCCCTCCATGGCCGTGCCCTCCTCTTCCCACCCTTGTCCCCATCCCCTCCATGGCCATGCCCTCCTCTTCCCTCCCCTTGTCCCTCCATGGCCGTGCCCTCCTCTTCCCTCCTCTTGTCCCCATCCCTTCCATGGCCATGCCCTCCTCTTCCCTCCCCTTGTCCCTTCATGGCCGTGCCCTCCTCTTCCCTCCTCTTGTCCCTCCATGGCCGTGCCCTCCTCTTCCCTCCCCTTGTCCCTTCATGGCCGTGCCCTCCTCTTCCCTCCTCTTGTCCCCATCCCCTCCATACCCATACCCCCACTATGGACACAGGGACCCCCCCCACCACCACCTTCCCTTCCAGACCTGCTGCCCCCGTGGGGACAGCCCCGAGTCCCCCCCCGATGCACCCCCTCAGGTTGAGCTGGCTCTCCCCATGGCGGCTGAGGTAGATGGTCCGCGGCGTGACGTGGATGTTCATCAGGTAATAGACGGTGCGGCTCTGGATGTGGCCCTGCACCCGGTTCGCCAGGTACCGCACCCCCACATCAAAGATCTTGATGTAGGACAAGGCGCTTTGGGACACACACACACATCCTGCATCAGTGTGGGGGGTCCCCACATATGGGGGGGCACATAGAGGGGTTGGGGGGGGGGGTACCTGTCCAGCTGCTCATCCAGGGGTTCATAGGTGGCCTTATAGCACTCAATGCGCTTGAGGAAGTCGGCCACGACCTCGTCCTGGGCACAGCCTTTGTAGTCGGGGCTGCTCAGCTTCACTTGCTGAGGGTGGGGGGACACGAGGTTTATGGGGGGGCACACATCGTGTCCCCCCTCCCCTCTCTGGTCTTTATCACCCCCCCAGGCTCTCACCTTGATGTTCTCCTCAATGATGTTAGGGTCGTCGCAAATGGACTCGACAAATAGAACCTGGGGGGGGGTCATCGATGTCACCCCCCACACCCCATGCTATGAGCACCCCCAAAATGGTGCTATATAGCACCCCAGTGCTGTGAGCACCCCAAAAACACTGCCAGCCCCCCCCCATGCTCGGAACACCCCCAGAACAGTGCCAGGGCCCCCAGGGTGCTATGGACACCCCCAAAGTAGTGCTGTGGGGCCCCCCCATGCTGTGAACACCCCCAAAGCAGTGCCATGAGCCTCCCCATGCTGTGAACACCCTCAAAGCAGTGTCACCATGTCCCCCCAATGTGCTGTAGATCCTCCCCAAGCAGCAATTTTGCCCCCCCATTCTATACCCCCCCCCAAATACTTTAGCCCCCCCCCCCCATACCTTGTACCCATTCTCCTTTGCAAACTGCAGGATCAGGGCCCGGCGTTCCCGTGTTGTATTGGTGGCATCAAACACCTGAAGGGTTTGGGGGGGGGCAATTTGAACCCCCCCCCATAACATAGGGGTGTATTTTACCCCCTGGGGGGGGTCGTTTGTGTAAAGGTGGGGGGTGTCCTTACTGCTACTTGCCCATCTTCAGAGCTCAGATAAGTGTGGACGTCCTTAAGGGCAGCCAATGCACAGTGCCTGGGGGGCGGTGTGTGTGTATTATTAATAAGGGGCTATTAATGTGCCCCCCCCTTAATTATACACCCCCCCTTTAACTCCCCCCCCCCTTTAACCTCCGTATCTTCATGGCTTCTTGGTTATCATGGCGGAAGAACTCATAACTCTTATAGCTCTGCACCGCTTCCCTCCGGTACTGCCCCACATTAAACACTGCAATGAGGTGAGTAAAGGGGTTAAGGGGGCCCCCTCAAACTCTTCCTGTGCCGCCCCCCCCCCATTTTACACCCCAAAACCCTCTACTTACCCCGTGTTGGTGTCCCGATCCAGTTCAGATACCGGGTGAGCTTACGGGATATATAGGTCTTGCCACGGGCTGGCAACCCCACCATGATCACCATAGTGGGGCAGTTGGTAAACTGGGGTACAGAAGCTATAAAAGGGGGGGGGGCTCTATTAGTATTTAACCCCCCCTTTAATGCTTTTGCACCCCCAAATCCAATCTGGAGCAGCTCAACATGCCCTGAGGGGGGCAAATCCCCCACACACCCCACCCCAACGCACCCATAGGGGGATTTGCCCCCCCTCAGGATATTCCCCCCCCGCCATATTAAATCCCCTCCACTTACATCCCCGTCTCAAGCGATGGGACCGAAGGGGGACCCACACTTTCTGCAGTGGGGTCTGTGTGAGCTGCCCTGGTGCTGTCGCCATTCCTCTGCCCTCTGCCCCTAATGCAGGTCAATGTCCCCACGGTCACCCCCCCCCCCCCCCCCCCCCGGCACCAATTCACACACCCCCCCTCCCCCCCTCCTCTTCTTATACCTGGGATTTGGGGTGATTTCTCCTCCATTTTTATTTAGGGGGGGCAGGCGGGTGCTGGTGGTGCCCCCCCCGATAAAGGTCAGGGGTAATGCTATACCCTGGCTGCAAGCCGGGGTGGGAGGGAGAGGGGGGTAAAAAGAGGGGGGGGGGGCACACACGCAATGGGGGTGCCCCATAGGATCCTGGGTCTGGTCCTTTAAGGGTCAGGAGCTGCTTGTGCTGGGGGTCATGGGGTTGTTTCCTTGGGGGTCTCAATCCTGCTCCCTTTGGGGGTCCTGATCCTGCCCCCTTTGTGGGTCCTGATTCCATTCCCCAAGGGACCAGATCCTGTTCCGTTTGGGGTCCTGATCCCATCACTTTGGCGGTCCTGATCCTGTCACCTTGAAGGTCCTGATCCCATCCCTTTGGGTGTCCCAATCCTGTCACCTTGAGGGTCCTGATTCCGTCACCTTGAGGGTCCTGATTCCATCACCTTGAGGGTCCTGAGCCTGTCCCCTTGGGGGTCCTGATCCCATCACCTTGGGGGTCTCAATCTTGTCCCTATGGAGGCTGTGATCCTGTCACCTCAGTGGTCTCAATCCTGTCCCTTTAAGGGTCCTGATCCCATTCCTGGGAGTGCTGATCCCATAACTTTGGGTGTCACAATCCCATCCTCTTGGGGGTCCTGGTCCCATCCAGGCTATCCCAATCCCATCCCTCCTCATCCTGCCTCCATCCCTTTGGCATAGGTAATCACTATCCTATCCCTTTGAGTCCTGATCCCATTCCTGGGGGTGCTGATCCCATCACTTTGGGGGTCCTGGTCCCACCCCATCCAGGCTATCCCAATCCCGTCCCTCCTCATCCTGCCTTCATCCCTTTGGGATGGCTGATCCCCATCCTATCCCTTTGGGAATCCCGATCCTATCTCTTTGGGAGTCCTGATCCCATTCCTGGGGGTGCTGATCCCATCACTTTGGGGGTCCCAATCCTGTCCTTTTGGGGGTCCTGATCCCATCCAGGCTATCCCAATCCCATCCCTCCTCATCCTGCCTTCATCCCTTTGGGATGGCTGATCCCCATCCTATCCCTTTGGGAATCCCGATCCTATCCCTTTGTGGGCCCCCATCCACCCCTTGGGACTCCTCACTCCTGCCCCCCCCCCCCCATTTCCTCCTCCTCTTCCTCCCCCCCCCCCCTTTCCCCATCCCTATCCCCGCCCTCCCGGTGCCTCCCCCCGCTCCCATTGGCTGGGCCCGGGGCGGGCAATGGCGGCGATCCGCAGCGTGAAGGTACCAAGGTCCGGGGTTGGGGGGGGGGGGGGGTCCCCATTAACCCCCATTAACCCCCCCCTTTGTGTCCCCCCCTCCCCATGGCAGGGGCTGGTGGCGCTGGTGACCGGCGGAGCCTCGGGGCTGGGCCGGGCCACGGCGGAGCGGTTCGTGGCGCAGGGGGCCCGGGTGCTGCTGCTCGACCTGGGCTCGTCCCCCGGGGCGCAGCTCGCCAAGGAGCTGGGGGAGCGCTGCGCGTTCGCGGCCGCAGATGTGAGTAAAGGGGGGGGGGGTCGTTCTATGGGGGGTGCTCTATGGGGAGGGTCAGTATGGGGGGGTCGTTCTGTGGGGGGGTGCTCTATGGGGAGGATCAGTATGGGGGGGTCGTTCTATGGGGGGTCACTCTGGGGGGGTCAGTCTATGGGGGAGTCGTTCTATGGGGGGTGCTCTATGGGGAGGATCAGTATGGGGGGGTCGTTCTATGGGGGGTCACTCTGGGGGGGTCGTTCTATGGGGGGGTGCTCTATGGGGAGGGTCAGTATGGGTGGGTCGTTCTATGGGGGGTCACTCTATGGGGGGGCATTCTATTGGGGGGTGCTCTATGGGGAGGGTCAGTATGGGGGGGTCGTTCTATGGGGGGGTCACTCTGGGGGGGTCAGTCTATGGGGGAGTCGTTCTATGGGGGGTGCTCTATGGGGAGAGTCAGTATGGGGGGGTCGTTCTATGGGGGGTCACTCTGGGGGGGGTCGTTCTATGGGGGGGTGCTCTATGGGGAGGATCACTATGGGGGGGTCGTTCTATGGGGGGTCACTGTATGGGGGGGCATTCTACTGGGGGGTGCTTTATGGGGAGAGTCACTCTGTGGGGGGTTGTTCTATGGGGGGGTCACTCTAGGGGGGGGCATTCTATTGGGGGGCGCTCTATGGGGAGGGTCACTATCGGGGGGTCGTTCTATGGGGGTGTCACTGTATGGGGGGGCATTCTACTGGGGGGTGCTTTATGGGGAGAGTCACTATGTGGGGGGTCGTTCTATGGGGGGTCACTCTGGGGGGGGTCGTTCTATTGGGGGGTCACTGTATGGGGGGGCATTCTACTGGGGGGTGCTCTATGGGGAGAGTCACTATGGGGGGGTGCTCTATGGGGGGTTGTTCAAGGGGGTTGCTCTGTGGAGGGTCACTCTATGGGGGTTGCTCTATGGGGAGGGTCACTATGGGGGGGTTGCTCTGTGGGCAGGTGCTGTATGCGGAGGGTCATTCTATAGGGGGGTCATTCTACTGAGGGGTTGCTCAATGGGGTAGTTGCTCTATGGGAGGTCACTATGGGGTGGTCACTCTATTGGGGGGATCACTCTGTGGGGGGTCACTCTATAGGGTGGTTGTTCTATGGAGTGATTGCTCTATGGGGTGTTTGCTCTATGGGTGGGGGTCACTCTGTGGGGTGTTTGCTCTATGGGGGGTCACTCTGTGGGGGGTCATTCCATGTGATTGCTCTATAGGGTGGTCGCTCTATAGGGGTTTTGTACTATGGGGGGGGTTGCTCTATGGAGTGATTGCTCTATGGGGTGATCAGTCTATGGGGGGTCACTCTATGGGGTGATTTATGAGGTGGTCACTCTGTGGGGGGTTGCTCTATGGAGTGATTGCTCTGCGGGGGTAGTCACTATTGGAGGCTCACTCCATGGGGTGGTTGCTCTATGGGGGCCATTCTATGAGGTGGGTGCTCTATGGGGGGTCACTATATAGGTGGTCGCTATGGGGTGGTCACTCTATGGGGTGGTCGTTCACCCATTTAGACACATAGAGCAAGAAGCCTGGAGAGGGGTTTTGGGTGCGGGCTGTAGGGCCAGGCTGCCAGTGGGGCGATTGCCATGGGATCTAAGGACACTCTCCCCATGAGGACACTGGGATGGGGTGAACCCTTCCGGAGCCCCCTTCCGCCCCACACCATGGTCCCGGGGGTCCCCCGTGCAGGTGACGTCGGCCGAGGAGGTGGGAGCTGCCCTGAAGCTGGCCCAGAAGGAGTTTGGGCGCCTGGACGTGGTGGTGAACTGCGCCGGGGTGGGCATCGCCGTCAAGACCTACAACAGCAAGAAGGACAAGGTGCACGAGCTGGAGGACTTCCAGAGGGTCATCAATGTGAGTGCGGTGGTGGTAAAGGGTGTCGGGGGTCAATGGGGTGGTTGTGGGGTGCTCCTGGTCAATGGGGTGGTTGTGGGGTGTCTCAGAGTGGTTGTGGGGTGGTCCTGGTCAATGGGGTGGTCCTGGTCAGTGGGGTGGTTGTGGGGTGTCTCAAAGTGGTTGTGGGGTGCTCCTGGTCAATGGGGTGGTTGTGGGGTGTCTCAAAGTGGTTGTGGGGTGCTCCTGGTCAATGGGGTGGTCCTGGTCAGTGGGGTGGTTGTGGGGTGTCTCAAAGTGGTTGTGGGGTGCTCTTGGTCAATGGGGTGGTCCTGGTCAGTGGGGTGGTTGTGGGGTGTCTCAAAGTGGTTGTGGGGTGCTCCTGGTCAATGGGGTGGTTGTGGGGTGTCTCAAAGTGGTTGGGGGGTGCTCCTGGTCAATGGGGTGGTCCTGGTCAGTGGGGTGGTTGTGGGGTGTCTCAAAGTGGTTGTGGGGTGCTCCTGGTCAATGGGGTGGTCCTGGTCAGTGGGGTGGTTGTGGGGTGTCTCAAAGTGGTTGTGGGCAGTTCCAAGTCAATAAGGTGGTTGTGGGGTGGTCCTGGTCAGTGGGGTGTTTGTAGGGTGGTCAATAGGGTGGTTATAGTGTGTCCCAAAGTGGTTGTGGGGTGGTCCTGGTCAATGGGGTGACCCTGGTCAATGGGGTGGGGTGTCTCAAAGTGGTTGTGGGGTGTTCCAAGTTAATAAGGTGGTTGTGGGGTGATCCTGGTCAATGAGGTGGTTGTGGGGTGTCTCAAAGTGGTTGTGGGGTGTTCCAAGTCAAGGTGGTTGTGGGGTGGTCCTGGTCAGTGGGGTGGTTATGGGGTGTCCCCAGTCACCTGAATGCTCATGCCCATGGGATGGCCCTCCTGGGGGGTGCCAATGGCTTTTGGGGTGCCCACAGCCCCCCCAACCTCCTCCCCCAGGTGAACCTGGTGGGGACCTTCAACGTCATCCGCCTCAGCGCCCAGCTCATGAGCCACAACCAGCCCGACGCCGACGGCCACCGCGGGCTCGTGGTCAACACGGCCAGTGTGGCCGCCTTCGAGGGGCAGGTGAGCGCCGGCACCCATTGTTGGGGGGGGGGGGAATGACACCCCAAAGTGCTCACCCATCCCCATGGGGGTGTGTGTGTTTGTGTTCCCCCCCCAAGGTGGGTCAAGCAGCTTACTCAGCCTCCAAGGGCGGCATCGTAGGCATGACGCTGCCCATCGCCCGCGACCTGGCGCCGCTCGGCATCCGGGTGGTCACCATCGCTCCAGGTAGGGATGTGAGGGATGCATAGGGTGGGCTGTGGGGGTGAGCCCCCCCAATTCACCCCCTATTTCTCCCCACCATTGTTCCTCAGGGCTCTTTTCCACCCCGTTACTGGCTGGTTTACCTGAACGGGTTCGGAATTTCCTGGGACAACAAGTGCCTTTCCCCTCCCGCCTGGGACACCCGTCGGAATACGCGCACCTCGTCCAGGCCTTGGCCGAGAACCCCATGATCAATGGGGAGGTGGTGAGGTTGGATGGAGCCCTCCGCATGCAGCCATGAGTTTTGGGGCTCCCCCCAAATGTGGGGCTGGGGGCGGGGGTGGTGGTGGGGGGGGGTATCCACACTGGGATGCTCCCCCGTAGCCCCAATGATGGTTGGATGCTCCATGGGGACACTGCAGGATGGGAATCCCATTGGGATGTGGACTGGGGCACCACTGTAAGTGGGGACACCCCTCCATGAGTGGGATTACCCCATGGGTTTGGGGGGACACCCCCCCTAGATTTGGGACCCCCATGCTGTGATTTGGGGGGACCCCCCCCATGGATCTGGGACCCCCATGCTGTGATTTGGGGGGACATTCCCCCCCCATGGATCTGGGACCCCCATGCTGTGATTTGGGGGGACATTCCCCCCCCATGGATCTGGGACCCCCATGCTGTGATTTGGGGGGACATTCCCCCCCCATGGATCTGGGACCCCCATGCTGTGATCTGGGGGGACATCTCCCCCCCATGGATCTGGGACCCCCATGCTGTGATTTATGGCCCCCCTCCCCTGAATAAGGACCAGGGGCACCCATGGCAGTGGGGGCACCCACAATGGGGCCCTGTCCGGGTGTGGGTCCCCCCCCCCCCAACCATGGAGTCCCGGCCCCGTTCCACGTTGTGCCCCCCCCCCCAATAAAGCGTGCTCTGAGCTGCCCTCTGCAGCTGTCAATCTGTTCCTCTCACTCATGATTGGGTGACGGCGGGGTGTGGGCGGTGCGAAAGCGTTAGTGATTGGTTGGCGTGCGGGTCACTCAACGCGAAGTCGCTTA